AGGAAAATGACCACAACATAACCCAGAGGCTAAATTTGAGAACCTGATTGGGATCATCTAAATAAGATGATAGAATGTAAATGTGGATTTAAGGAGTACATTAGAGTGACAATGATTGACCACTCATAGTATTTAAATAGCAATACTAAAGTAGGTCCAAGTAAACCATTAGTTTAGGAGTACGAAACAGGTAAAAATTTTATAAAAATAAGGCCATCGTAAACCCTTCCAAATAGGAGATTCGCCAGTCGCTATTCCCCTTTAAATAAATATTAACCAGGGTATTTCGCAATTCCATCACTGTATCATTGGATATAAACTTCGCAACATCAGAGTTATAATAGCCACACTACTTGTGTTCCTACGTTTGAAATACAACAACTTTTACGACTGAAGTAGCAAACTGGAACAAATTATCCTCATTGTATCCAAATACGACTGTTTTACTACTGAATAACGTGTGAAGTGTAGTTCAAGGAGTGCCGACCAGTAAAATGTACGAAAATCACTTATAATGCAAACATAGACTTAAGTAGTACACCAGAACTCACTTGAAGAAAACGGGACCAGAGAGAAGACAGACATCATGAACAATTTTGAAGAGACCAGCGATGAAAATACGAAATCCATAGGTACAGGCAAGGGCCTTTACCAAACCAAATTCGGATTTCTGGGGCACCCTTCTGTCACATGCCGTTTTTTCTGCTCCAGTGCCATCTGGCTTGCCCTGTTTGAACTAAAATGTTCAATGATTAACAATAATACCTGTGCCGACCTCGCTAGTAATCTCTCAAATAGGTGGTCGTTTAGGCCATTCAGCTAGTTTTGAAAGAGAATGAACTTTAAAGTGGAACTTGTGGAACGGATAATGTCATTGTCGAGAAAATAAGACTAGTCCCTGTCAGTCATCTACTGTTAAAAAGTGTCGATTAAATAAAATAAGTCATTTGAACTCATGATTCTCGCAACAAGGAATGCTCTTTTACAAAACACAATTACGGTGTAGTTGTATCGCCCATCTAACAATAAATGATGGTATATAATTAGAGACTTGCTATCATGTTTTGGGCGTTTTTCTGAACAGCAAACTGATCAACTGGAAGGTTTCAAAATAAAAAAAATAGTAGGTGTTATACAAAAATGGCTGCTGATCGTCTACTACAAAAATTCCAGGCTCCGCTCATTACTTATTGATTTTTCCCAAAATGGTTTTGGAGTTGAGCAATGGTGCTTGAAACACAATCGCTCATTTTCTCAATTCGAATTCAATCTCATATTTGAAGGTGATTTTGTGCTAGATTAATGTCCAGAATGCGGGGTGCGCGATAGACTTACCTCCTTGTGGTGCAACCTGGACAACGTATTTTCTTACGGCAAAAAAGTCTATCAATCGGCAAACGTTTTTGACTTCGATTAATTATGATTAGCTTTGAAAAAGGCTATAAGAAAAATCGCCCTCGTCAGGGCGAATCACAATGTCTTCAGATCCTCCAGTGGAATGCTGGAGGAATGTCTCCTGACCAAAAGATCCAAATACAGAAAATCCTGCAAGCCTATGATGTAGACATTTTCACAATTATGGAAGCTAACATTTCGGATGACAAACTGAAGTATTACCAATTCCCAGGTTACACCCTGTACAATCTACCTAAGTACCGGCAAGTTGCAAGTGGAATTCTAACTGGAGTAAAAGATGGCCTAACCTCACACTACGACCTAATCAAGAGTATGGGCTCGACACAAGACAAATGTGAAATAATCAGATTAAATGTTTGGAAATGTCAAAACCAATTCAAGATATATGCAGTCTATAATCCTCCCCAGAATTGTCCAAACTTTGACTTTCTGAACATCTCACACAAAACCATAGTATTAGGAGACTTCAACGCCCACTCCACCAGATGGGGCTACAAGGATACAAACATAGCTGGAAAGGAAATTGAA